CCTGAGACCCTGCAACTGCACTCCTGGGCATCTATCTATCCCAGAGAAATAAAACTCATGTCTACATGACAATCTGTACACCACTGCAGCTTTATTTGTAATAGCAAAACCTGAAAACAATGAAAATGTCCCCAAACTGGTGAACGGTTAAAAAACTGTGGTCCACCCACACCATGGAACACTACTCAGCAGCCAAAACGGACAAACTACTGACATGCGACAACTTGGGTGGATCCTAAGGGCATCATGCTTAGTGTCCAAAGCCAATGTCAAAGGTTCTGTACCATAAGATCCCATCCATGCGACATTTCTGAATGACAGGACTTTACAAATAGAAAAGAAATTAGCAGTTGCCAGAAGTTGGGGATGTTGGGGGTGGGGGGAGCTCAGGGAGATCTCTGTAGTGGTGACACTTCTGTACCTAGACCGTGTGGTGGTCACGTGACTCTACAAGGTGGGGAGGGATGCTTCTGTATCTGGACTGTGCAGTGGTTACGTGTCTCCAACGTGACAAAAGGCACAGAACTACACATACAGTACCAGTATTAAATTCCTCATTTTGATTTTCTACTTTGGTTACAAAAATGTCACCACTGGGGGGAACTGTGTGAGGCACACAAGTAGTCTCTCTGTACTACCTTGGCAACTTCCTATCAACATATATTTCAAAATAAAAAGTTTTAAAAAACCACCAGCTGGAGCTACCAATTCTGATACTGCTACACATTTTCACTAGGAGTGAACCACTGAGCAAATGGATGGTAGGCGCTGGGCGCCGGGCTCCTTGCTGCAGGAGTGTGAGTCAGCAGACAGGAAGGATCCGTGTGGCCTGCACTGGAGCGGAGGACGCCAGCATGAACTCATGTTTAGTGTAACAGACACAGAGGGCTGCAGAGAGAAGCACTTACAGATGTGTGTAATTACATGAGTTAGTGCACATATATTTTTTCCTGGCTCTCTTAGCTGAGAAGGCTTCGAATCAATAGCACCCAACTATCAATAAATACATCTGGAGCCCAGATCTTGGTTTCTAACACCATTCTGCAAGCAAAGGAGGCAGGCATCCCTGGAGAACGGCTGGTGCTGGGACCAGGCAGGAAACATACAGCATGAGCCTGGAGTGTCTTATAGCAGTCTTAGCACCAAAGGGATGGAGGTGCTCAAAACCAACAAATCGCAAAGACACACAGACACACACACACAAACACAGACACACATAGACACAGAGATACAGTCACAAACACACACAGACACACATAGATACAGAGATACACACACAGACAAAACACACTCACATAGACACACACAAACAGACATACATAGACACAGAGATAGACACTGACACACATAGACATAGAGAAGCACAGACACACACACACACACACGCAGTCGCAAAGACACACACACACCAGACACACCACACACGACACAGGGGCATGTCAAAGGGACCCAGAAATCAACTGACAGAACTGCCAATGCCAAAGCACCACAACACAGAAGTGTTGGATTAAAACCCAAAATCTGAAATAAATACCCACGAGACCATCTGACATAAAAAAATTATTGTACATGTAAATACATGAGGGAGCAGAGACAAACCTCCCAAGCTGAGGACTCTCCCGTGGACGCTCTGCCCTCACGCAGGCCCTACTCCCTGCCCCGCGCCTGTGGGCCGTCGGCCGGGACGTGCTCCCAAGAGCCACGTGGAGAGCGTGCAGGGGGCCTGCGTGCAGAAGGCGCCTCACTCTGCAGTCTCTCCCCGGCACCCAACCCCAGGCAGTCACAGGGAAACATCAGCTCACTCCCCAAGAGGACATTCCACAAAACACACGAGCAGTCTTCCTCCAAAGTGTCAAGGTCACCACAAAATCTGAGAAAAACTGTCAGAGCCAAGAGGACCCCCAGGAGACATGACGCCTAAATGTGACATGGCGACGTGGATGGGGTCCTAGAACAGGAAAAGGACATGAGTCAAAAACTAAGGGAATCTGAAGAAGGTACGAACTTCAGTTTGTAATGACGTGTCGATGCTGATCCACTGACTGCATCCGATGTGCCCCACTAATGCCAACTGTGAATAGGGGACACTGGCGTGGGGAATATGGGAACTCTGTGAACTCTCTTCACAATTTCAAGGAAGAAGAGAAGGCCCCACCTGGGGGTCAGAGAGGCACCGTCCAAAAATGGGGGGACCGTATAAGTGGAGAGCCCGAGCAGCCCCTGGCCACCTGGCTGAGGGCGTGGCTATGGGGGAATGGGGGAACTTGAGCACAGTGCAGCCCAGGTAAACAGGTGCACGCACACACGTGTGTGCAGATCTTGGAGCACTCAGCGTGCGCCCAGTGCCATGCTAAGCTCCCTGCATATACTACGTATGTGACAGAGAGTCACTGGCTTGTCAGTGGAGGCACCAGGATCTGGCTCGGGTGGGATTGCTTAGACAGCCAGCACAGGAGGGGCTCTGAGCCCCACCAAGGGCCATTCTGGCCTGTGAGGGCTCATTCAGGAATGAGACCTGGGGAGAGGACAGAATGAAACCCACTGCTACCCATGAAACTTCTAAACTGGCTTTGTCAGCCTCATGCTGGACTCTCCTGACAGACTTGTGCTAGTTCTGAATATGTGTGTCCCCAACAAAACTCGTATGTTGAGACCCTAACCCCTGTGGTGATGGTATTAGCAGGAGGGGCCTGTGGGAGGTGACAGGGTGGTGGGAGCAGAGCCTTTACACACGGGACTGGTGCCCCGTGCCATGTGAGAACATAGCAAGAAGGTGCCAGCTGTGAACAGGAAGTGGGCTCCCCCAGACACTGAATCTGCCGGTGCCCTGACTTTGGACTTCCAGCCCCCAGAACAGTGAGAAATAAAGGTCAGCTGTTTATAAGCCACCCAGGCTATGGCATTTCGTTAACGGCAGCTGAGAGGACTGGCATGACCTGTTGGAAGACGCCTCTCCTCTTGAGAGGGCTGCACAGCCGCGGCCACCATGGACACAGCTGACCAGTATGTGAGCCAAACTTGGACAGACGCTCACGGCTCACATGCTGGTGGGCACAACCCCGTCCAGAACACAGGCAGCTCTGTTTCCTTGGCGCAGAGTTCCCCAGGGCTCCCTCAAGGAGCAGGCAACAGACTGTGTCTTTCCTGGCTCTTGTATGCCGCATGAGCAACATCCACACAAACACCCATGAGGCAGGCACACTAAGCAGCGGGAAATACCACAGACGCGCCTGAAGGGACCCCGGTCACACAGCCTGAGCTGTTTGTTCTGCAGATGGCAAAGCAGAGACCCAGAGGGACTTGCATCTCTGAGATCCCAGAGAAAGGCCAGGCTCTCCTACACTCCTTCACCCTCTGGAAGCTCTGAGGGTCTCAAGTCCCAGGACCACAGCACAACCCCATCCCACATCCAGAGGTCAAGTTAAGGTGTCCTGCTGTCCCGCACCCACCCCAGCACAGCCTGACTCCCCTATCCAACTGCCAGGCCCAAGTGCCTCCACCGGTCGTCGAGGTTTCCTCAGGCTCGGGCCACATGCTGTGTCCACAAAAAAAGGCCAAACTCTCCACACACGCTTCCATAAACGGTGAATCCTCAGGTTTTTGCTTAAACAGCATCTCCTGAGACACACACTAGCCTGTGCTTGCTCCTGTCGGGCTGGCAAGTGGGTGCTTGCTGGTTGCTACGCCCCAGCCCCAAGTGTGAGTCCTGTGAGGGCTATGCCCACACCTCACCTGGAAGCTCACACCGGCAGACACACGTAGGAACTCAGTAACCGACCCAGCAGCATGACGGGGCTCTCTTCTTCACCAGAGGAGCAGAGAACTCCGACGGAGCTGCCACGTGAGGACATTTTTGGAATTCCCCCTCTCTGGGGTCCACCTGCAAAGCCAGCGCTTCAGAGTCAACATCTGGGGCTGGCCCCAGCCCATGTCCCAGGAAGCCCCACGTGACACCAAGACAAACATGAGGCTTTAAGACACAGCATGGTGCTGCCACGGAACGTGCTGGAGAAGCCATAAAACAGCAGCTTTTAGTAGCTGAAAGATGATTCATTTTCTAAAAGCTCCATAACCAGGAGGTCTCAGTAGCAAAGAGCTCAGGTTTTCACACAAAACAATCAAGAACAGGCAAATATTTGTCAAGCACAACTCCTGGTTGTCCTCAGGGGCACCATCTTTCCCCAGGACGGGAGGGCGGGCAACGCGGCCCCTCTGCCTACTCAGCATTAGCTGGACAGCCAGACACCCAGTCCTGGCCTGGAGAGCATTTGGGGATGGATTCGGCTTTTTCCTGCCTTGTCTTCTGAAATTTCAGTATCCAAGGCATCATTTTAAATAACACTCACAAAAGCCATTCACGCTTCAGAGCCTCTGCTTATCGAGCCAGACATCAGAGCCCCTTCAGGCACGGGACAATGAGAAAGAATCCGGCAACAGAGTCGCCCATGGCTGGCCGGGAACAAGAACCGATGCTGCCCAACACACCTGGAAACAAGTGACAGTCTCCATCCCAAAGCCTGGGCCAAAAACTCACTGCAGCTTAATGTGCACTCACTGGGTGGCAGAGGGGGAAAGACTGCTCTGCCCACAGGGTCTGGAGAGGCTGACCCTCTGAGAGGGACACGGGCCCCTGCAGAGGGTCAGCGACTGCACAAAGAGCTCACCCCGGGCATGACACCAGGCCAGGCGTGGACACTGGAATGCTGGAGAGGAACTGAGAAACGTGGGGCCCACACCAGGCTCTGAGAGCGCCACAGGTACCGGGGCTGGGGGAACTCTCAGCAACCTGGGATAGATGTGCACCCCCTGAGCAGACTGCCAAGACGCTTTCCTGCTGGGGGCGAGGATCTTGTGCTGATATGAGCTTGTGACATAAACCACCGGTGGCTGGGAAGTACACACAGCTTGGCAGAGACCTTGAGGAAGGCGGGTGCATAGAGAGGAGAGGGTGAGGATGGATGTGGGCAGGGCAGCCTGGCTGCCCTTCCTCGAACCCATACCTTCGTGAGCAGCAGGACTCGCTTCTGGAGTCTTCGAGCCAGCGCCTCATGTGTCTCACGCCTCTTCCTCTCCTCTAGCAGCTGACCACGGACCTGGCGGACCTCCTCCTGGAGCTGCTGCCTGGCCTGTTCCAGCCCCCGAGCACTGCATGGGAAAGGCAAAAGCGCAGTGTGATGAGGCCTGGTGTGACCACCCCCTACCTTAGCCCAACGAGAGAGCCCACCAGGACATCCTAAAATAGAGCTGCACGTGCAACTACCCACTGTCATTTCCTCACTCCTGAATAGCTACTTAAGGCCTTTCAGGAGTTTCTGGATTTCAAATAGGCTCCCAGGGTGATCCCAGAACACAGCAGGCAGGGGGAGGGGATGCTCAACTCCACACACAATGGAAAAAATTGTCAGCAAGGCACTGCTTGGGGAGACAGGACTTCTGAATGAGCTAGATTGCAAAGCAAGCACTTCCCATCTGAATCATGGTCGGCACAGATGTGCAACATGGAGGGGCAATCGAGTTTGAGGCGCCCAGTGGGGGCCTATTCTGAAAACATTCTGCAAAGCAGAAACCTTAGCTGGTCACTGAGCACTGCGTCCCCACGGTGCTTCCTGCGAGGCAGACATCAGAGGCACCTGCCAGGCTACTCCAGAGAGGCCAGGCTTAGATGAGCCCTCTCCCATTTCCTTTCAATTCTATGTTTTAAATGCCCCCTTTTCCTGGCTGGGCAAGGTGGCTCACACCTATAATCCCAGCACTTTGGGAAGCTGAGGCAGGAGGATCATTTGAGGCCAAGAGTTTGAGACCACAGTTTGAACACAGCAAGACCCTCACTCTATAAAAACAGAAAAATTAGGCAGGCGCAGTGGTGTGTGCCTGGAGTCCAAGGTACTCAGGAAGCAGAGGCAGGAAAATCACTCGAGCCCAGGAGTCCAGGGCTGCAGTGAGCTATGATTGCGCCACTGCACTCCAGCCTAGGCAGGAGTGAGACCCCCATCTCTTAAAAAAACGAAAACAAAAACATCCCTTTTTCCCTCTACGTTCCCCACAGTCTGCTCATGCGCTGGTTACCTCTCACCTAAGTAACCACGACGGCCTCTCAACGGCTCTCACTCGGCCCATCCACCACCACTGGGTCCCCAGCTGTCTCTTCAGACCACAGAGAAGGTCAGGTCACTCAAATTTAGAAGCCTCCAGTGGCTCCCAACCACTCACAGGCAAACCTCCTAACTGTCTTGGCAGTAAAGTGTCTCAAACACTGGCCCCAGGGCCACCTCCTGACCCTGCTCTTCCTGCACGTGCCCAGAGCCAGGCGCCACTCAGCCTGACCCCAACACTGATCACAGGCATCCAGACTAAGTGGCTTCCCTATGACACTCAAGCCCCAGACCCAACCTCCCCCACACAGTGGTGCTCCCCCAGAGCGCTCCCAGGACAGGACTCAGCCAGGGAGAGGACAGACACACAGATAAAGGGCAAGGGCAGGGAGTAGGGTGCCTTACAGATAAGGGTAGAAAACACGATGTTCACACAATTTTTTTAAGTAGCAAAAACCTCTTTCCAGCAGAAATCTTAACTAAATCTCAAAAAATAAAACATAAGCAGAGTATTACAATTACATTGTAAGGTGACATTTGTGACGTTTAACTGAGGTGACAATTGGTACAGACAATGAGGCTGCTTTGAAAATGTAAACGTGGCATCCACAGTTTCTATTCCGCTTTGATTACTCAGTTTCGGGAAAGCCTTAGTTCACAGGGATGGCAGATAACGTTTTCTTTGGAAGTGGTCTCTACGGGGCTTTTTCTATTTCACATCTGTGTGAATACAGTGTTTTCTCATTATAATTTAGTATAATTCTTTAAACAGTTAAAGTATAACTTGAAAGTAAACGTGAATCAAGCACTTATGGAACTTTACAAGGAACTTGGTGGCACTCCTGGTCCAGCCAAGCACAGTTGGGACCCCTGGTCTGGACCACCTTGGACCAGCCCCAAGCAGAAGCTTCATAAGCCCACAGATGCTGGAACCATGTCCTGGCATCTCATTTCAATGTGGCTGTGATGTGGTGGGATATGTACCTGGCCTTCCACCACTTTCCTGGCATGCAACTCCTAAAATCCTTAGATTCTCCAAAGTGATGTGTCCTTTTGTACCTAATGAGTGACAGTTGGCCGCTGCTTCAGGATGGGGCTGGTCACCCGAAAGAGACAGGCAGGACTAGAGGGCTGGGATTTTCTGTCCCACCCCCAACTCCTGGGGAGGGAAGAGGGATTGAAGGTTAAGTTGATACCAATGACCAGTGGCTTAATCAATCATGCCTATGTAATGAAGCTTCCATAAATACTCAAGAGGACTGGGTTCAGGAGCTTCCAGACAGCTGACCCCACGGACGTTCCTGGAGGCTCCCTGCCCCTTCCCCACACCTGGCCCTACGCACCTCTTCATCCGTATCCTTTGTAACATCCTGTATGCTAAACCAGTAAACATATGTTAGTGTCCGTGAGTTCTGTGAGCTGCTCTAGCAAATGAACTAAACCCACATGGAAGCTGTGGGAACCTCAATTTAAGGCTGGTCAGTGAGAAGCACAAGCAAAACAGCCTGGGGCCTGCGACTGGCATCAGACTTAAGGAGGCTCCGGCAGGGGACAGAGCCCTCGCCCTGGGGGGTCTGACCTGACCTTGGGTGCAGGTGGACATGTCAAATCGCACTGGAGCACGCCCAGCTAGTGCTTGCTGCAGAACTGCCTGCCTTCTGGGTGGCTGGGGAAACCCACACATTTGTTCACAGAAGTTTTCCGTGCTGACTGCTGTGGTGTGAGAGCAGAGGGAAACAGTTGTGAATTCTTCCTAACAGATTAGCCACCTTACACTAATATCTATTCCCAAGGCAGAACTGGCTGACTGCCACCTGCCACCTCTAGGTGCTCCACAACCAAACACATAAAGCAAAAAATGAGTACAAACATTCATGGAAATAGACACATTGAGAGGCTATTCTGATTTCCAGTTCAATTTAAAACTATTCATAGGCCAATTTAATAATCAAGGACTGTGAAATAGACTCTTGAATCACTGAACTCAGGTGGGGAAGTTCGCAGCACTTTAAATCACTGCTCCAGCAAGGGTAATTTAATTAGAAGAACGACACCATTCCCTGTGCTCAGTTGTGAAGTTGGGCACATAAAGGCACAGACCAGCTGAGGGTTGCTGGGAGGCTGCCCTCAGCACAAAACAGTTTGGAGCAACCTGAAGGGAGACAGGCAAATCCCAAACTCTGCATCTGGAGTGCATGATGCCCTCATATCCATGTGGGGCTGGAGCCCTTCCCACTAAGAGCATGTGCAAATAAACACACGCCACATGATAAATGCTACCTTCTCAGAGTCCAAACCTCTGCAGCTTGGAGGACCTGGCTCAGTGTAGCAGAGCAGGCACCAAGAGTGGGCACCAGGAAGCCAGGCTCAGCCCAAACCTTGGCCCCCGGGGGGAGGGACAGAGCAGGCACTGAGAGCCCAGCTCCCGGCCTAGGCCTGAGGTACAGGATGTAACATGGGGTGTGTCCGGCAGCACCTGCAGAGAGAAGACAGAGCCTCTAAGGAAGCTGGGCCATGCCTAGGCTGGACACATTCACTCACAGGTTATCAAGGAAACCTCTCCTCTCCCAAGGGTAAAATACTGAAGTAAGGACAGGAAGAAATGAAGCCAGTGGAACCCAGGCTCCTAGAGGAGACCTCAGACAGCAGGCAGGACAGCACGGGGACAGCTGAGAAAAGCCCACCCAAGGGCTGAACACAGGTGGGCCCCACATAGACTGGGGCCACGTCCCCAGTGCTGACGTGTAACTGGAAACTAATTTTTCTAAAAGACAAAACTAGATTTAAAAATCCAAGTTTAGCACATACAGAGAATGAACTCTGCACAGCCTTGCTCAGAGTGTTAAGCGATCCAGACTGACCAGCGCTCAGCCACCCAATCCATTCCATGACGGAACACGCACACGGTCCAGCTGCAAACTCTTTCAGGCACCAGAGAAACGGCAGCATCAGCACCCCAGTGAGACTTCCCAGGGCCGTCCTCCCACCGGGGAGGCAGCTCAGGCAGCTCAGGAACCTCATGCATAGAGAGGCGTCAACGTGAAGCTCGGGTGACCAGGTGTGAAGCTGCCAACTAGGAAACGGAAAAAGGAGGAAACAGAACTCTAAGGTATCAATTGGGCAGCAACTTCAGAAAGTAGCTACCATTACTTGCGCTGTGGGGACAAAGGGAAGAGGTTGAAACAATTAAAATTCAGAAACTCAGAGGAAGACCCCAGGGAACAGACTTGGACCTTTGAGGGCTGGCTCTGCTGGTGTCGGAGCTGGGGGGACCCATGCAGGGCCTGGACCCAGACCTCTGAAGATAGGGCACAGTCTGCTGGAGCCGCAGAAGCTGCAGACTGGGTTCTGCAGCTGCTGGGGATGTGAGGCAGTGTCGTTGAAGCACCCCACAGGAAAGGAAGGAGCAAGCCCTGTGTCCCCTGCAGCCTCACCCTGGGTCTCTCCCTCACGCCCCTACGGAAGGGCTGCCAGAGGCCCGGCTGGCAGAGCAGCCATGAGGGCTGCAGATACCAGCACTGCAAACCGAGCACAGAAAAGGGGGTTTGGAGTTGAAAGATGACAACTAGGTGACTGCAATGGGCAGAAGACAGAGCAAAGCAAACAAGCATGAGCTTTCTGACATCCAGAGCCGTGGTGGGAGGTCACAGAGGCCAGGGGAGCCGGAGTGTGGACTGGCAGAGAGGGGCTCCCAGGAAGTCATGTAGAGGGCAGGATCAGAGAACATTCCCGAGGTCAGAAGGGCCCGCCCAAAGGGCGCATGACCGTTCAAGATGTTTGCTCTGCCGCGAAGAGAGCAGAGGACAGGGCTGTGCTGGGGTAAGAAGACCAAGACCCCGGGCAGACCATGCACTCACTCAAGGGGATGTCCAGCTCAGGGCACGGTCCTGAGCATGCAGGGAGGGGCCCTAACAGCGGAGCCCTGGAGAGCCTAGAGGGCCCCACGCATTGCCCCAGTAGAAGGGCCACCTTCCACAGCAGTGCAGCCTTCCGATGGCTTCTCAAGCCGCTGCAGCACACGGCCCTCCCCATACTGTACGCAGAGGGTGCCAG